GTTTTGTGTCACTAATTTGCTTATATCATTTGGGAGATCATTATACAACTGAGCACCTCGAAAGGCAAATGATCCTGTTTTTAATCTACATTTTTGGTAGATTCAATTCATCTATTTTTCTAGTACTTCTACGTACCGTGTATCTTTGAGCGTTTTATAAATTTATCACTTAGATGCTCAGCATTTGCTCATGTAAACATTGATGAACCATTACTAAATCGTATAAAAGCAATTTCTCTTTCACAATTAGCCAATTCAAAGATTTGAGGCCTTCAGTAATTAATATGGCCATACTTTTTCAAACCTAAGACAATACTACATGCAAAATTTTGAACTAATTGGAGCTCGTTATATTTTGTTTGGTCGTATTAAGACCATTTCTTGAAATAAATTATTTCTTATCTATCAATTTAAGACCATTCCAACTTGACTTTTTTTATCATGATTATACATTATATTTTTAGATATTAATTAAAGTCAAATACCTCGCTAGCTTTCGTTTTTCTTTGGTTACGGCAAGATATATATATATCGAGCCGTCACAACATGTAGAGTAGATCTGAGTGCGATCTGTGTTAGTGAATGACAAGCTGTGTTATTCCCTGTCAAACGTCTAGGGGAATCAATGAATACACGTAATAGATTATAGATTGTATAGCAAGCTGGACTCCTAAAGTCCATACTAAATTAGCCATTCCGTCCTCTCTTCCAGAACCTTTTGTTTAACATGTTAAGTTTAACGTGGTTCAATCAAAGGTTCTTAACCGATAGTAACCATGGCAACGAGCCAGGTAACCTGGTCGGTGTGCTAAACGAGCATGGACCGGAGGTCTGGGCAAGAAAGTATAAGAACTCGAGTTTTCCATTTCTCATTTTAAGCTGTATATCAGTTGCAAACTCACATTTTCTTTGCTAGAGATCTCAAAGTCTTAAAGCTACCTTCTTACCTACAAGATGGCTTTCTCTCACGGACTTGTCTTTGCGCCAGTGTTGATTGCTTTTGCTTGCCTTTACTCGGGGGCTCGGTCACAAGGTAAGTTCAAGTGTGATTATATACTAGGTAAAAACGTCTTTCGTCTAATAGTGCGTCTCACTGGGTGTGCCCATTCACAAGCCTAGCGTCAGACATTTCAACACTCTCACTATTCTTTATATCATTTTTCTCCAGTTCTCCCTAATGTTTGTCGGCCGTTTCTCCCGCTTCCTCATTCCAGGCTCTCCTTTCTCCTTTCGCCGATCCCTGATCAGTTCCTCTATTTTCCCAGTCTTAATTTGTACCCGTTGGAGGATTCGCACTTAAAATAACGTACTCTTGCAAACAATCCTTTGTCGTCTTGATCGACTTGTACGTACCATGCACTGATTATGAAGACGACACAAAGCGAAAGAAAACTAGTTGCTATAGCAGTGCTAGTGAGATGTATGAGTGCAAAATGCCCGACATTTTGTAATAAATTGGTCTGATACTAAAAGTAGACCTCAAAATAAAACCTCTCGACAARAAATAAGCCCCATTAATTAGAAACGTAAAAACCCTTCCCATGATATGCCCTCCCTGCTCATATATAATCCCGGCCCATAGAATGGTCGTATACTGTTTCAAGAATGGGCCTGTTAGTATACATTGTGCATTAAAACCAAAGAAGTATAAGTACTTGTAAGCTTTGCCATTTTGTGATGTAAGACAAATTTAAAAAAATACATGGACTCTACATGATACGACTGAATGACATTGTTGCTGTTGGTTAGCCAGAGAGTTGTAAGGTTCAAATAGATCTCTCTAACCGTTATGGGTCTCACTTTGCAACGGTATTTTGAGACGCAAAAATCCAATTTGAAAATTGCCCCATTTTTGAAAAAAATACAAATTTCTCTCTTCTTCTTCTTCAAAAACAACTCCCCCACCCCTCCTCCCATACATAAGCAGCCCTTCCCCAAAAGCAAATATCAGCCCAGGGTTCGTAGGCTCAGTGCGGTCGTCAAAGGACTTCTGTAGCTATTAATTGAATGAATGTAAAACATTAGGCCGGTTTCGTTAGGTCCTGTAAACATCGACTTTCAAGAACCCTTAAAATTTCACGACTTGTACAAACTAAACTTAGCTCTCCCCAAGTAGGTGCTAATTAGCCGATTATCCATTAAGATAAATGCTAAATAAATGCAGCATTTCAGTCTAGCTGAATCTTTTTTTATAAATTTTATATTTTTCAAAAGGAAAAAAAGTCTTATCAACCACTATGAATAGAGCTAAAATATGGGAATCTAAGCAAATTTAGCCCTCACATTTTTGACTTGACAATGACGTGAAGCAGCGTCGAAACGTCGTCGGATTTTAAGGTTTCATTCATATGTTTTTACCCCCCAAAAATGCTTTTAATTTCCTTCTAAACTAGCTTAAAATCTCACCAATGAAATAAAATCCTATTGCGTTCCATTTTTTTAACTATTTACCATTTGACTTTGGGATATTTTTACTCAACGTTTGCGAGTTTTCCTTATTAACAATATMTCTCTCCAGGTATTCACCACAAGGGATTTCATTTATTAATTTAATGCGCAGAGTAATAAAAAATTACTCAAAATTAACAGCTCAGTGTTTGCGAGAAAAAATTCTATCTTAACCATTAACCTCTCCCTCTTTCTTTGTTCCAAAATATCTCATTTATAATTGTTGACACACTTTGTTTAGTTACTCCACAGGTATATTGTATTYATTACCTTCGAGTTGATCGTTTTTCTCATTTTTCTTTTTAACTACTAATTCATCGCACCAATTTGCTGTGAAGATATAATATAACAGTTTTTTTCAGTCTTGCTGTGAATAAATAGTCCTTTTTTGATTAAAAAACACGCACCTTTTTAGATTTTAGATTTGATTTGAACGTTTTGGATTCCATATTAAAATTCGCGTGGTTTGACAAAAATTAAATAGACTTTAACTTTGCTTGAGCCCTCATGACCACGAAACAATGGCTTCCAAGTCGAGGTTGAGCTTGATGTGTTCATACATTTACCTTATTTTATCAAGTACAACGTCGTGGTCACTCAAACRAATTAGGAAATTAGGGAATCTATATTTCGATTTTGAAACCGATATCACCACTGCTGTCTAAACACCGAATTGTTGACTAGACAACTAAATAATTACTCCCCCAGAAAGTTCTAATCAAAATAGTTCTAACGTCTTTACCGTGTCATGGTTACTGATTTGGGAGATGGGCATTGTACTATAGTAGTGTAAGCTATAATTTTTCCCAACCCTCCCCTAGATAGTAACTATCTAGGACCTAGGACAAAAGAATACATTGTCCACCCCCGCTATAATATTTTACAACGTGTCAGTATACCTTTTGCACTTTTTGTTCAAAAGCAAATTCATTGCACTAAATTGTTACCTTGACAAAATCCTTTTCTCGCCATTCCAATCTCCAGAGAYGGATGTTTCGCGTTGGCGTAAAGTTTGCTGTCAATACATCATACGTGTCATTTCCAGTTCAGTGTGGAATTTTTACCGTTTGAACGGCCAGGTTTTTATGAAAATTTAGCGCGAAAAAGTTTGTTTTCATTACGTTGTTTGAATTTTAAAAAACGTCTCGCGTACCGATAAGGCAAATGCGTCAAATGTGACGATTAGGAGAGACTAGAGAGTTTTAGATTGACTTTTTTTCTCCCCGCAAACGGCAAACGTGACCACGTTTTCATCGTTTTACTGTATTTTACTTTACCTTTTACAAACCTTCTCACCAAAGACAAATATTCTTTTGTTTTTCTACTACTTGGACTTTTTTGCGATTCTTTTTAAGCTAATTAAAATACCAGGAGTTTTTAAATGGTCAACTGAAAACTCTCTACTAACTTTTCTTGCACGCAAAGCTTTTTTTTTTTCATAGTTATTTTCCATTTTTTAGATGTATGTGTCATCTACGGAAAAACGTACAAGGCTGGGGAGAGTTTCATAGATGAAGGTTGCACCGCCAAATGTCAGTGTCACTCGGGAGGTGGCATATCCTGTGTTTCTCTTTGCCCACCTAGCCGAGTAGCCTGTAAGGTTGGCGAAACGATCAAATACAAGAAAGATCCCGTCGCTAGCAGTGATGGGCGCTGCTTCTGCTCCGTTCCATATTGTGCAAAAGCCAACGTTTGTGATGTCGATGGCGTGAAGTACGAAGCTGGTCAACGCTTCACCAATAAAGCTTGCACAGGTCAATGTACTTGTCATTCAGGCGGACATATCTCGTGCGTGTCCCTCTGTCCACCCCATCAAATTCTCTGTCCCCCAGGCAAAAAAGAGTCTTCTAAGAAAGTTCCAGCAGGCAACGATGGGCGCTGTTTCTGTGATTTTCCCATCTGCGTTTAGCTCAGTGARGGTAAGATTGAAATCTGATCAAAAAATTTCGAAAATTCTCGAGATTCAGAATAAAGGGGTTTACAGCAACCCTGTCGTATGGCCACATAAATGCATTTCTTTCTTTTTTTTCGTGACAGATCATAATTATAAAGTAGAAAATTGCTATTCTTTTGCCCTACGATTACAACGCATGACCGCCTTGAACTGAATAACTCTACTCTAGTTAGAAGACGATGACGATGACGACTTATGGGTGTGGCTTCGAGGCCTTTGTACCTCTCCACTTCCCCATTAGTTTCCAGGCACAGTATTAATACACTTATTTCAAAAAAACCTTCGTTGGTCGGAGAACTGCATAGGCCCTTTGCAGCTCAGTAATCATGTGCTGATTAATTCACTGAGCAAATGAATGAACATCTTGATTCCCATGGGTGAAATATACTGGTGAGAAAACAAACTTTCTACAACCTGTTTTGAGAAATCGTAATAAAACTGCATTTCGTAACACACTGGTTACACATCTTTTCATTCAGCTCTTTACAAGTAGGTAAAAAGAATCATCAATTTAATATAAAAACATAAATTTTGCCCTCCAGTACAGACATGTGGCCATTGAAACCGAGTAGCACGCTGCAAATTGTGATACATTTACAGCCGAACAACGTAGCTTCATTTTAAGATTGGAATATGAAAGCATGCATTATCTTTGCATTAGAAATGTGATTTAGAAATTAAGACATAAAAGCACAAAAATTCCGTTTCGTCTCAGATCGCCCATGCATTTCAGATCTCTCTAAGCGACAACGTTTTTTAAAAATAGGTGTATACAAATGCTAGGGCTCTGGGATCCAGGGTGACAGAATTTKATCAAAATTCAGGATTTTATTGCTAGCCTTTTCTGTCCCTATAAATGTAGTTAGACTGACTTCTAACTTCTGACTTCTAAAAGTGGGGACACTCTAAGGCAAGACATTCTGACTAATAGGTGTCCCCTATTAGTAGAGGGTTTTCCCTCAGCTAGTTATTTTCTTGACACGTAATATTATCATAAATAGCTAGCCTTCGTGCAGACGTTTCCAGTCAACCCCCCCACCACCACCTCACGAAGGGATTGCCTCCACCGAACAAAGCTCAAAGGGTTCTTTGATGCGTGTATGAATAATCTACCAATAATTTCTCTTAATTTTCTTTTCTTCTTTGATCTTTCACCAGGAAAAAACTAACGAAGATATGAAGAAGTTACATGATACAAGCAGTAGATGATGAATTGTAGAACCGAATAGTGTATTAAAAGGCATAAAACGATACAATGTTGTTACTAGCTTGATCTTTTCAGTGGCGGATCCAGGATTTTTCAAAGGGGGGTTCCGTTTCTTAAACTGTGCATAATCTCTTGTTTAGTCGATGTTTGACAAAAAAATTGGCTCTAATCACCTAATTTACTATCTTTAGATGAAACGACTGAAGAAGAGTGCCATACAAGCCTTTCACAACTTCAAGTCGCGTAAAAAATGAGCCAGCTCAACTAGAAACTGTGGACAGCTGTTTCGGCCTGTATTGGGCCTCGTCAGCACAGTGTATCTAGTGAGCTGGCAATCCCACGRAAAAGTAGTACTAGATAGATGTGGCATGTTCTTATTTGATATCCGAGCCCATCCCACACGGCGCACTGCCACATCTATCTAATTTACTATCTAGTAACGGAACTTAAAGGTAAATTAAACATCATAACAGCAAATATCTATCATTTCGTGTTTAACATTATCTTTGTGGATACTTTTAAGCAAAATTTATATAAGACATATTTCTATTACCTAAAAGATCAAACCTTTAAGGGGGGTTCCGTGGAACCCTTCGACCCCCCCTGGATCCGCCAATGCACAACATTTAAAAAATCACCAAAGTAAGCTTATTTTAGATATTATATCAAAAAAGGCGTCCCTCTGAAGTGTGTGAAGATCACAACACTCAAAAGGACACCAAAGTAAGCTTATTTTCTCGTACATACTACATCGAAGAAGGCGTCCTTCTGAAGCGTGTGAATTTCACAAGACTCAAAAGGACACCAAAGTAAGCTTATTTACTCGTACATACTACATCGAAGAAGGCGTCCTTCTGAAGCGTATGAATTTCACAACACTCAAAAGGACACCAAAGTAAGCTTGTTTTCTCGTACATATTACATCTAACAAATACCACAAAAACGTGACGTCAAAAAAATAGGAAGCACAACATTGTAATTTTTTTTGAACTGTTTTCCGTTCATTTTGCAGGTATAGAACCGTGGTACGTTGACTTTTTATATTTACAAGTTTAATCATGGTCACATTCGCGGGAAGTTTTGTGAGAAATATAATCGCACGGCATATTTAGATTTTGTCGTTTACCATTAATTATAAGGAAATTAATATTCAAATATTTATTGGAAATTATGATAAAATTAATACATATGGTATACTAAATTATGATGCTTTATGTAGACTTAATTAAAAATGCATCCATTAGTTTTTCCAACAGCTAATGTTTCTGTTTCTAAATCCTTCAATTCCATATGCGTCTGCGCCTTCTCCAGTTCTCCCGCGTTTTCAAGCTTACCTAAGTGACGCTTGCCTGACATTACGATTTCCCGCCATTTCTTTTTTAGTGATGGCACGCTCTAATACTACGCGAAAATGATTGTTAGTTTGGCGTTTAATCGATCAATTAATAAGCATGCGAGTAGTTCATCGATCTCATTTTAGTCAACTATCGATTACAAATTGCTGGTTTTCAATCATTCCTAATTAGTGCTAGCGCTATTCGACTAATAAATCTTATCCAGTGGATAAATGTATTGGATAACAACATCGACTTATCCACTGGATAAGGATTTATCCATCGGATAGCTTTATAAACAACCAGGCCCTGGTATTGAGAATGAACTATGTAGAGTGCAAATCCGATCTTAAACTATCTGAATTTCTATTATAGAATCATATAACTGCGTCGTTTTGCATTGTGTGGTACATGAATGAAAACATGCCATTTTGCGAATCGCACATCCAGAATTCACTCCATTTTTAATTTTTTCGCAAGMAAATTAGTGGATCAATTAGTACTGGATTTATTATCCGTTTGAATAGATACAATAATAACCCTCTAGCTGGAGGCGAGCTAACCCAAGACCAAACACATTTATCTATCATAATATATATATTGA